TTTGTATTTATAGTGATCTCCTAAATTTATAGTATGTTCTCATAATTCTATCCTCATGACAGGTAGTGACAAAGGTCCTGAGAATTCAGAGATATGTAGTACTGTGCCTCAGCGGAGAAAGGCTTCCCAAACAACTGGTGAACTCCTGTGTATTATACAGATCAGTGCAAAATAATTTCTGAACATACTTAATTATTTAGGTGGCACCCTTGCTCACAGACTAGGTTTGTGAGAACAGCTATAGAGTTTTGAAGTCTGAGAAAAATGAAGCAAATATGAAAGTGTTATCAAGGACAGAGTAAAAATTTGTGAAGGACAAATTCCAGAAAGGGCTACCTGTTAAATTCTCATCAAAAAATGCCAAAATTTACACATTTGCATGGTCATATACATGTGATATCCTTCCGAATGGAAAGGAATAGGGGTGTCACCTCTGAATTAAGAGCTGATTTAGTAGCTTGGTTGTTAATAGACAGTTTAAATATGAAAATTCTCTACAATGGAGTTATCCAAGTGGTGTAAATGAGAAGCCCTAAATAGAAATTTTGCAGTGATATCGATAGTTAGGCATGAAGGGTTTTCTGCTTAGGATGGATCCGAGGAGTGTGGAAAAGATGTGGAAGTGACTGACAGGATGCAGGCAGCAAATAGCAGGACATACAACAGAGAGGGTCTTCACTGAAATTCAGGTAGTTCTTAGAGTAAGTATGAAGTAAAGTTGGGTTCTGATTGCTTCACTGAGGTGATCAACACCAGCTCTGGCAACAAACAATCAGTATTCCACATCCCTGTCAACCCATAATTTTTGTGTTCCATACTTGAGATCTAATTTGATTATCTCTAATTATGCCCCAGTGTCATGAAGCTGAAATTTTCAATTTTTTTGTACCAAGGATCAAATGCATGACCTATGCTTTCCAGGCAGGTGTTCATGCACTGAGCTAAATACACAACTATGAAAATGTTTTCTGTGTAGTATGGACGATATCCACATTGTTTCTGAGAAAGTGTTGAATATTGTTGGAATTTTTCTGTATTGTATGGCTATAATTTTTTAAAAAACAAACCAAAAGTGTCTTATGCAGTCTCTTTTTAAGTTTCACTTTATCTGTTCCGTGTCTCAATCAGGGTTTGTCTGTTTTAGACAGCTCTGTAACTTAGGATAGCCCCAAATTCAAGGAAGAAATCCTTCACGAGCCTCCCAAGATTTATTTCTTATATTTGAATTGAAAGTGATCACTTGGTAACAGTGATGTTTAATTTACAGCTTGGGCCTGGTTTCATTTTATATACATATTTTTAAAATACAGCTGTTTTCCACTAACACTTGAGTTATTATTTATATACCATATTTGATGTTATTTATGTTTTGTTCTATGAAACCAAATTCATGTTTCAAAATGCTGCTTAAGTATATTAAGAACAAAGTACTCATTGGCCTAAATGAGATTTGAAGAGACATCATCTGTAGTCTATGAAAATGATTGCTGAGATTATTTATTTAATTTTGAAATTGGTAAAATAGAACAGAACAAGGCAGCATAAGGTCAACTAAGATCACACAGTGAAATTGGTACACAACTTCACAACAGGTTACTGAGATAACAGTAATAGGTATCACAGTATATTTTGTTATCTTTGTCATAGTTCTTTAATCACATATATCAAAATGAGATGAAATACAGAACATTATAGAACTTATCAAAACAGAATATTCAATTGAGCAGTACCATTAATCAGAATAGAGTGAAACAATAATAAAAACATTTTCCTTCAAAGAGATGGTAGAAGGAAGTCCTCCTTATTTGCTATGGTCTAATTCCCAGCAGATGCTCAGATTTTTGGTTCCCATTTGCTAATATGGGGTGACAGGAGAAGAGGGGTAGGGAAGTGGGATGTTTGATTCTAGGTGGTGCATCAGTAGTTTCACTATTGCTTAGTAGGGAGACAGGCTGGTTGTTTGGTTTCACAGCGCCCTAAGTTCCCACATCGAACAGACCTTAGGAGCTGCTGCTGATTATCCCCCTGGAAGGGCTGCAGTTTTCCAGATTGCCACTGCTGACTGGGGAGGGGAGTTGCTTGCTTGGCTTCCCAGACAATTGATGAGTCATTTATCTGCTTCTGTGCTTTGTGGTTGCTGGTCCTGCAGGCTTCTCACTGTGAGCTCTGCTTTAGAGAAAGTGCACAGGGAATCTTGCCATGACTCAGCACAAGAATCAGTGCTCCAATTTGGCTGTTATATTAGCAGTAAGTTGCAATCTAGCATCAAATTTGCTGTCTTCAAAAATGTGTATAGACACAAAATTAATGACCAAGACATGGATTTAAATATGAATAAATCAGTCTTCATTCAGCTGTTTTGTTTGGCTTTATTTGTTGAGTTTAGTTTTGCTTTATTGAGACAAGCTTTCTGTATGTATATCAGCTGGATTTGAACACCCTATAGAGCCTAGAATTGCCCTGACCTCACTGATGCCTCCCTTTCTCCCCTTTTGAGTGCTGGGATTATAGATATGCACCACTGCACTTTGCTATTGATTCAGATTTGTAGGAGAGAATTTAAGATATCCCAAACCTGGGGTCTCAACCTTCCTTTGAGAAATATATGCATGATCCTTTAGGAGGTGGTGACCTTTGTGGATGTGGTTGTGAATTTCAGCAATGAGGAGTGGAGTTTGCTGAGTCCATCCCAAAAGAACCTCTACAGAGATGTGATGGGCGAAACCTTTAGAAACATGGCTGCAATAGGTAAGGATGAAATATTTTTGGCACTCATGCTGTCAGAATATTGTTTGTTGCTCATTAGTGATGTTTCATTAAAAAGAATATGAAAATATTTTAAAAAATAGCTCAGATCTGGACACATTATATCATAAATCTAAACAAAATCTATTAATTTGTATGTATTACTCAACTGAGTCCTGGTATTTCTATGTCTACAATTCAGGAGGACTTGGGGAAATCCAGGAAGCTGAAAAAGAATGCAAAGTTTACTGGAGATACTTCAGGTAATTCACACTCACAAGAACAGGAATGTTCCTGAGTAATTAGTGAGTCAGCAGAAAAATATCCACCAGAGAAATGAGGCACCATTCAATTTCATGTCAGTAATATTCTCCAAAGATGTATAAGCTAGTGTATATATGAGGGAATTGAATCATGAAAATGTATGACATTGCATATAGATGATTACAAAATGCATACACTTTGAGTTATGACATTCTGCCTTCAGCTTTTCTACCCATATATACATGTGAATACAACGCATTCATTATCTAACAATTGCTAAGATTGCAATAGAATTTGAAATAAAACTGAGTGCTCATGTTTCAAGGCCATGCTCTAGACAATCGGCGATTCTGACTAATATTCTTAGTAGGCTGGTGGAATGTTAATGCACTCATTTTGAATATCAGTATGCAGTTGTCTCTAGAAATTGATGCCCTCATATTGGTCCTGGATATTTTTAAAATCTCAAAATCTGCATAAAATACTGATACATGCTTACTCATATACAAAGCAGATCAAGTTATAACAGATCAGGCCTTGAAGCTTAGCTATCTATCACTGGATTTGTGGAGAAGAAAAATGTTAATAGACTCTCTGTGATTGTGCATTCTTGTAAACCCAGCACATTAGGAATCAGATTTTGCAGAATGGCAATTTCAAGTTCAAACTTCACAGCTTAATGATCTATGAAAATCTCTTAAAATAGATTTTTAAAAAGCTATATATTTATGCTAATACCTGTTGTTCATTCCCAGCCCAGAATGGAAAAACTGTGTTATATAATGTCAAAAAATAAATAATATAATGTCATTTGCTATAAGAATTAGATGGGTCTTTCACCCATCAATTCAGTGAAATAGCTCAGCTATAAAACCTAAAAGGTCACTGGCTTTCTTTTAGATGAGAAACCAAAATACAAAATGTGGAAAGAAATGAAACAGAATTGTTAGAGAAAAGTAAGACTGACCATATGGAAAAGGGAACTACAGGTTAAGGACAGAAGGGAGATTGTGATGGGGAAACATATGAGAATAATTTGCATGTGATACACATATGTATCCATGCCCAAAGTGAAGCTAAAAATTATGCATTTCAAAGTACCAACTTTTAAGATTTCCAAATGTGTACCAGTCTTTTGGGAATGGTTGTTTTCAACATATCTTACAAGGCCATTCTGTTGCTTCATGGTGAGAATTTCTTAGCAGGCATTAAAAACAGAACTTGATATTAATGCAGTTATTAAACGGAGACCAATTTCACTGTGAATTTTTCTTTTTTTAAAATTTAATATAAGGAAAGATTAAATAAGATAAAATAAGTAGAAATAATACTGCTTTCAAAGTGAAAAAAAGTAAGAAATCGCAAGATGATGATTACAAATGCTGATCATACAAATAGTTATGAAATACAAAAGTGAAACATATGAAGTGGGGATTCAAAAAGTGAGATTGCAAACAGTTTTGTTCACCTCTCCAAGAAAAGCTTAGTAATGTGGTTATAAATCCTATATGTGATTTTTTCTTTACAGAAATGACAAGCTAGGGAAATCTTATGAACATACTTGGAAGCAGTATAAAGAAGTATTCCTTTGTACTGCAGAAGGTAATGTGAATGTGAAAGAAACAGAAACACAGCACAATGTTCAGATCCATGAAAAATATTGCAGGCGAGGGAAACACTATGTATGCAAACAATGTGGGAAAGTTATTAAAACACGTGCATATTGTAAGGTTCATGTAAGAATTCACACTGGAGAGAAACCCTATGTGTGTAAGCAATGTGGAAAAGGTTTCATGCAACCTGGAAATTGTAAGGAACATGAAAGAATTCACACTGGAGAGAAACCATATATGTGTCAGCAATGTGGAAAAGGATTCACCAGATCAAAATATTGTAAGCAACATGAAAGAATTCACACTAGAGAGAAACCCTATGTATGTAAGCAATGTGGGAAAGCTTTTACCAGACCTGAATGCTTTAAACAACATGAAAGAATTCACAGTGGAGATAAACCATATGTATGTAAGCAATGTGGGAAAGCTTTAAACACACGTGCAAGTTATAAGGTTCATGAAAGAATTCACACTGGAGAGAAACCCTATGTATGTAAGCAATGTGGGAAAGCTTTTAAAACACAGGGAGATTGTAAGAATCATGAAAGAATTCACACTGGAGAGAAACCTTATGCATGTAAGCAATGTGGGAAAGCTTTTACCAGACCTGGATGTTGTAAGAAACATGAAAGAATTCACACTGGAGAGAAACCGTATGTATGTAAGCAATGTGGGAAAGCTTTTACCAGACCTGGATATTGTAAGGAACATGAAAGAATTCACACTGGAGAGAAACCATATGTATGTAAGCAATGTGGGAAAGCTTTTAACACATGGGGATGCTGTAAGAAACATGAAAGAATTCACACTGGAGAGAAACCCTATGTATGTAAGCAATGTGGGAAAGCTTTTACCAGACCTGAACGTTGTAAGGAACATGAAAGAATTCACACTGGAGAGAAACCATATGTATGTAAGCATTGTGGGAAAGCTTTTAACACACGTGCAAATTGTAATGTTCATGAAAGAATTCACACTGAAGAGAAAACATATGTATGTAAGCAATGTGGGAAAGCTTTTAACACATGGGGATACTGTAAGAAACATGAAAGAATTCACACTGGAGAGAGACCCTATGTATGTAAGCAATGTGGGAAAGCTTTTAACACAAGTACAAATTGTAAGGTTCATGAAAGAATTCACACTGGAGAGAAACCATATGTGTGTAAGCAATGTGGGAAAGCTTTTAAAACACAGGGAGATTGTAAGAAACATGAAAGTTCACATTCAATATAAAACCAGTGTATATAGGCATCATGAGAATGGTTTTAGCACATGTACATATTGCATAATGCATGAAAATCTTCACACTGGGCAGAAAACTTACATATGTAAGGAATGTGGGAAAGGTTTCAGGAGAAATGCTCATTGTACAATACATTATAAAATTTACATGGTTGAGAAACCCTGTGTGTATGTGAAGAATGTGGGAAAGCTTTCACCACACATGGATTTTGTAAAATACATCTATGACTTCACACTGGTGAGAAAGTCTATGTGGCAAAGCTTTTACTGCATATAGTCATTGCAAAACACATGAAAGAATTCACACTGGGAAGAAGCACTGGCTATATAAGCAAGTGGAGACACTTTCAGCAGCCAGATTGTAAGTGAAATACATGAAAAAAACCCACACAAGAGATAAATCCTATGTGTTATGGGAATACTCTCCTCATACTTGATCATTGTTACATATCTGAAAGAGCTCACTAGGCAGAGATGCTATGTGGATTAACAATGTGAGAAATATAGCAATCCATATTTCTTGTTAAATACATAGAAAAAGCATCACTGTTCAGACAGTTTAGATCTAAGTTTACTTTAAAAATCGCAAGGAGACCTGAAGCTAGTCTTTAGTAGAGACAGCTCTGAAACTATATGTTAAAAAAAAAAGCAGAGGTCATTGCTAATGGTGTATAACGATTTAAAAGACACAGTAGTCCTAGTGCCATATTTAGATTGAATTAAATTTGTTCTGGTCTGTCCACTCATATCAGATTTGAGGACACAGACCTCTAGAACCAAAAATAGCAGGTTATACCATGGTAACTATCCTTACTTTCCTATTGACTTAGGTGAAATCCTGTATTACTTACATTGTCTTACTATGACTGATCTTAATTGTATCTGAATCATAAGACTATTGGTTGGCCTTGACTGATCCTATTTGAAATCGGTATGCATGTTAGAATCAACCCTAAAAGTAGAGGAAAATACTCTGAGCATGACAAGATTTAAAGGATATCCATACTGGTATGAATCAGTAACAGCTCTCAAATACTACAATGCAGTCAAAGATAAGTTTTTATAAAAATAGGTGATAGTATGTTTAACTATAATAAGCCAGTGTTGTGGACAAATCTATTGAAAATAACAAGAGAAAACATAGTAGCTACGGAAGATCATTTATATTATAGTTTTATAAGTCTTATCCATTGCATGTTTATCTAGGAAATTGTTTTGCTGTCTTGTTACGACTTGGTTTTCCCTATAATACAGAGAGGATAGGAACAAATACTCTGAGGAAGGGACCTGAAAAACCCGAGGCTTATTTTGTAGCATTATAATATAAATTCTAGCAATCTATTGCTTGCTGATTAAAATGACTCTGGACTGGTTTCTTCAGCTCAACTTCAGCATATGCAGAGATGGGGATGGCTATCTCAAAGAGAATGAGAGATGCGATGGTAGTTGCTATTGTCTTCCCTAATTTGGAACTTGAGGACCTAAAAAGACTCCATCATCCTGTAATGATTTGATTAGTTCTATAATATGCAATAAGTATACAAAGTGGGTGAAGTTAGGGACAACTATTTGTAAGAAGCTAGAGACAGTTAGATAAGGTAGATCTCCAGTGGACTTGCTTTGAAATCTGTATTTCTTTAAATTGTTTTTTATTTTTTTTTTAATGTTCTGTTCTGTTTTGATATGGTTAACCTTATCCTCTTAGAGATGTAAAACAAATAGGTGGGACTGATAATCATATTACGGAGCTTTTGTTCGGCCATAGAGCAGAATGGTTTGTAGGGTCACTTTTTTGAATGTCATTCTAAATACTTTAATTCTATAACCTGAACAGCCATTTCGAAGATGACAATTTGTAACTTATCAACTGGCAATTTCTTACCTTTAGTTTGTCTGTAATTTAGTATTATTTCTACCCTTTTTTTAATCTCCATGTATTTTTTTTTCGTTTCCTTTTCTTTAAATAAAAAAAAAGCAGTGTAATGTTACACATAATACAGAACTACAAAAAAAACATAACAGTAAGAAATCACCTGTTAATAGATTACATATTATCATCTTGGAAATAGTTGCTCAAATGACAGTATCAAAGAATACAAAGTAGACATTCAAACAGAGAGACTGCAAACAGCTGTGTTCAATGATCCAAAAACATTAATATAGTCAGCTATTTAACACCCCTAAACACACTTGCTGTTCTATCCGTTAGAGCTCTTTTTTTTCCCTCCCTCTCTTTTTTACAACAAAATTTACACATTTTGGATTTTATTACTCCTTAGTTCTTATTAATTTTGGGGGGGGAGAATAAAGTCAAAAATGGCAAAACAAAGCTGTAAGTCAAAACCAAGGATAGACATAGCACATGATGTAGAACAGAGTACAAGGTTATTAACAATGGTTATCAACGTTGTCTCTTGTTTCCTTAAAAGGAATTGTCTATCTCATTAGATATTATAAAGTTGGACAAAACAGTGGAGAACAAGACCAATAAAACTTAGGCATTGTGAACATTACAGGACTTCCAAATCTTCCCTTTCTTCTTCTTCTTCTTCTTCTTCTTCTTCTTCTTCTTCTTCTTCTTCTTCTTCTTCTTCTTCTTCTTCTTCTTCTTCTTCTTCTTCTACTTCTTCTTCTTCTTCTTCTTCATCTCTTCATCTTTGTCTTTGTTGTTCTCTTGGACTTCTTTGTCTTTGACTTCTTTGTCTTCTTCTTGGTTTCTTTGTTGCTTTAAGCATATATTTAGAGGTGCATTTTGCCAAAAACCTTTCTTTGTCTTTTCACTTTCCAGTTTACTGAAGTTTTTACAGATCTCTAATGCAATTCTAACCCTATGTGCTTGAATGCTCAGAATCCATTCTGTGGCTTGGCAGAATGAGGGAAGTAAAGCAGAAACTGAACTTGGGGAAGTTTTTGTGCATTTTAGCATATCATACAACAACACCTGACTGATGGCTTTTTACCTTGAAAATATGGACTTCAGCAGCAAGTGGGTCTGCTACAGACAAAATGAGTTTCCTGTAGGTGTTTCAAACAATCTCATTTCCCCTCAACTTGTGAAGCACATGGTATAGGTTTCTTATGGCCAAACTTGAAAAATTATTTCCAGTACATGAAAGGCTGCCACTGGTCCTGAAATGATGACAGAACTTTCTTGTAAACATATAGTCTGATTCACACCCTGGCCGACAGAAACTAAGAGAGTCAGAGATGGCTGGCACAGATAGAAACACCTCAAGATTGTCAACTACCAGCCACAACAAGTAGGAACCACGCTGCTGAGCTTTCATTGTTGGGTGATTGAATTGTGTGGAGTGTTTTGAACTAGGTTTTCTGAGGCAGCTCAGTAAATCTAGGTTGCTGCATGGATCCCCCTTCCTGCAGTGCAATACAAACAGAAAGTCATGAGCATGCATCATTTAATTGAAAATTTCTATTGCAGTTATGAAACCTGTATGCATGAGAGTCCACATCTCTATCATAGCAGACCCACCCACGTGCATTACCACCATATCTTGTAAAGGGTCAGTTTATTTATACAAAGTGCAGAGTGATGTTCTCAGCCTTGATTTTCCAGACTGGTGCATTTCTTGAAGGGAAGTCATTTCTTGAAGGGAATTTCTTGAAGGGAAGTCATCAGTCATTCTTGAAGGGAAGCTAAATGATTTTATTTTGAGTAAACTTCAAGTATGTTGCTATGCTTCTGTGTGATGTCCTCGCTGCCAGATATTAGGAAAGCAATGAGTGGGATCTGCTGCATGTTTAGCTCCAGAGGGACACATTTCACAGCTGTGTCAGGCAGGGCTCTCCATCACCTGACTTGCCACCCTGGTATCCAAATACCCTTGCACACGTGCTGTCTTTGGCTTTGGGAGGTGCTGGATTGCAGTGGAGATGCCCAGTGTACTGGCTGGCCCTGGGGAAACCTTGTCATGCCATGAGTTTGTCATCCTTAGCCCTGCACCTCTGTGGCCCTGGGGCCAGGACAAAATTCCCCCCAGCTGCAGTGAACAGCATCGTCCAGACAGTTCTCCTTGTGTGTACTCTATGTGGAGGCTAGCAAGGGTCCCAGCTCATTACTGCTTCAAAGAGTACTGTGAATCAAACTCTTGAAAATTTGTGCAGCATTCAGTGTGGGAGAAAACTCTATTCTTAGTCCTAGGAGTTCTGTGGAAGGCTATTTAGAGCTCTGATGGGAGCTGTGAGATATGGCTGTGCTCTGCCCTTCCCATTGTTGTTCAGCACCTGCCTTCAAATGTGTCAGTGGATGGGGGAAAAGCACTTTTCAGGGTTGTGTGCCTGGATGAAACCAGTTTAGGAGGCTCATGTCTGGTGTTGGCCATGTCTGGTGATTCCCTTTGAGTTAGAAGAATTTGCCATTTCCTTCACAAAATGGACTCATGAAACCTCTTTCACACTTGTAATAAAAACCATCTATCTGACTATTGGTTGTAAAGAAAGGTTTCCTGTTTTGGTTTTTGCATTATTGTTGTTTTTCAAATGTAATGAATCAGCCCTTTGTAGCTCCCTTTGTATCACTGAAATCATGGAAAACATTTTCAAAAATGAAAAGATTAGTACATACACAATGGTCTCTACATTTTCCCTGTAGAATTTTTTTCTCTAGGATTTTCTCTTCTTTCAAAGAGCAGTAGCAGCCAGTCTCCTCCAGAAATGTTTGGCCAAGCAGAATCTGATGCACTGATATGAAAGACCCAGGGTACTCACTGGTAAGCGGCAGTAGTGTGGGCCACTGCTGCCCTTTCAGGGGTGAGAACTAACAGTGTCTCTTGAGATCCACGCCATGTTGGAACTTAGGACTCTGGGAAGCCAAGCCAGCACCTCCCCTCCTTGGTAAGCAGTGGTAGTTTGGCCCACTGCAGCTTTTCCAGGGGGAGAACTAGCAGTGTCTCCTGAGATCCACGCCATGTTCGAACTTACGA